CTACTGGCCCGCCATCGGGACGGTCAAGTCGCGGCTAGTTCCGGAGGAGGTACGGGCTACCGTGTACAACCTCTTCCGCGTCCCGCTCAACGGCGTGGTGGTCACGGTGCTGCTCAACAACATGGACTCCGTCACGGCCTTCTTCTTCTGCTCGCTCATGCTGCTCGCCGCCTTCCTCGCCTCGCTGGCGCGCACCGGCCACGGCCCTCCCACCGGCCGCCGCAGCCGTGGCCCGACTGCAGCGGGGATCGCGCGCCCCCAATCAGGTGCTCATGGTCGTGAGCCCGGCCAGCGCGTCGAACGCGCCCCGCCGCTCGAGCACAGACGAGCTGGAGCCGATGCGCAAGGACAGCTCGTCGGAAAAATTGAAAGGCGAGAGCCCAGAGTCCCCTTAGGGAGCGTTGGAAGTGCTGTGTGTGGCTCTCCAGAGGGCAAGGGCACAAGTGCGCTGGGAAAATTCTTTTTCGCCACGCAGTGTAGTTCAGTGTGTCGGAGATCTCGCCCCACGCGGACACCACGGACGACGGTGACCTCATGTCGACTGAGTCGCCGACGAAGCGTCGCCGCAACGGCGGTGAAGTTCGGGTCGTTCAGGTAATTGGTGGCTCCGAGGTCCACATCGGCCACGGCCTGCTCCGCAAGGTGCCAGAGATGGCGCTGGCGGCAGGCATCAAGGCATCCCGATTCGTCATCGTGTCGGACGAGACGGTCTTCGGCCTTTACGGGCAGACACTGGTGGACGCGTTCGTGGCGGCCGGCCACACGCCGCTCACCTTCCAGGTCAAGCCGGGAGAGAACTCCAAGTGCGCCGCCGCCGCTCGCGCCGCTGCCGTGTCCTCCGTGTGGCTGTGCGCATGCTCTCACACTGGCCACCCGCAACCCTGCGGCAGGTGTCGCATGTACAAGCAGCAGATCGAGGACCATATGCTCGAGCACCGCTGCCAGCGAGACACGTGCATGGTCGCCCTCGGAGGCGCGATGGCCGCCAGCTCCGCCCAAGCCTCACCTGCTCCGGCCACCACCTCGCACTCTCGCACCGGCCCTTGCGCCGCCGCCAGCCTCTCCGCCCCCCCGCCTCGCCCCGTCGCTTCGGGGACCTGACTAGGTACGCTCCCCGAAGCTCCTCGGAACCTTCTCGGAAGCTTCCTGTAGGCGGAGTGGTCGGCGACCTGACTGGGTATGTCGCGGCGACGTACATGCGCGGCGTGCCGGTGGTGCAGGTGCCGACCTCGATGATGGCGATGCTCGACTCGTCCGTCGGCGGCAAGACGGCCATCAACGTGCCGAGCGGCAAGAACTTGGTGGGCGCCTTCCACCAGCCAAGGCGCGTGACCCGTCACTGTCGAGCTGTCGAGGGACACGACCACGACACTCCTCGACAGACGCCGCGTGCACGACACGTCCTCGACACGTCCTCGACACGTGCACGACACGTCCTCGACACACGCCGCGTCCACGACGCGTCCCGCAGGCGCGTCGTCATCGACCTGG